GGCCACTATGAGTTTGTGGTCATGCCGTTTGGTTTAACCAATGCACCAGCAGCCTTCATGAAGATGATGAATGGTATCTTTCGAGAATTCTTGGACGAATTTGTAATCATCTTTATAGATGACATACTCGTATACTCCAAGACCAAGGAAGACCATGAGAAGCATTTGAGGTTGGTGTTGGGGCGGTTGCGGGAGCAGAGGTTGTTTGCCAAGTTAAGCAAGTGTAGCTTCTGGCAACAGAGTATTGGGTTCTTAGGGCATGTAGTCTCGAATGAGGGCGTGTCCGTAGATCCGGAGAAGATCGAGTGCATCAAGAATTGGCCGCGGCCCCAGACTGCTACGTAAGTTAGAAGTTTCTTGGGGTTGGCCGGCTACTACCGGAAGTACGTCAAGGGGTTCTCGAGCATAGCTCAACCTATGACTAGACTGACCGGAAAGGATGTGAAGTTTGCATGGTCCGGGGAGTGTGAAAAGAGTTTCACGGCCCTTAAGGACATGTTGACGAGTGCACCAGTTCTGGTACTACCCGAGGCTGACCAGCCCTATGTGGTGTACACAGATGCGTCCATAACGGGCCTGGGATGCGTATTAACTCAGCACGGGAAGGTGATAGCTTATGCCTCCAGACAATTAAAGAAGCATGAGGGTAACTACCCGACCCATGACCTGGAGATGGCGGCCGTGGTGTTTGCCTTGAAGATTTGGAGGTCGTACCTGTACGGAGCTAAGGTACAGATCCTTACCGACCACAAGAGTCTTAAGTATATATTCACTCAGCCTGAGCTGAACTTAAGACAGAGGAGGTGGATGGAGTTCGTAGCAGACTACGAACTAGACATAGCTTACCATCCGGGCAAGGCTAATCTGGTCGCAGACGCTTTGAGCCGGAGACGAGCTGAGGTTTCAGCTGAGAAGGAGGCGGATGAGCTGGAAGGGATGGTACGATCCTTACACCTCAACACAGTGGCCAGTGCTGATGAGCCATTGGGGTTGCAGGCAGTTGACCAGGCTGATCTCCTTACCAGGATCCAACAAGCACAGCTGCTGGACGAGAATCTGCAGAAGGTTGCGAATAATGACCAGACCGAGTACCAAAGAGCGAGTAATGGTACTATCTTGGTCCATGGGAGGATTAGCGTTCCTAACAACAGGGAGCTCAAGGAAGAGATTATGAGGCAAGCTCATAAGTCTAAGTTCTCCGTTCATCCAGGATTGAACAAAATGTACAGGGACCTGAAGCGGTACTATCATTGGATCCGGATGAAGACGGATATAGCTGAATGGGTGGCCCAGTGTCCAACGTGTCAGCTCGTTAAAGCTGAACACCAAGTTCCTAGTGGACTGTTACAAAGTCTACCCATTCCAGAGTGGAAGTGGGATCACATCACCATGGACTTTGTGACGGGTTTTCCGACCACTAGGAACAAGAAGGATGCGGTTTGGGTGGTGGTCGATCGTTTGACCAAGTCAGCTCATTTTCTGGCAATCAAGAAAGGAGATGGAGTGGATGACTTAGTGAAGGTGTACTTGGATGAGATAGTGCGGTTACATGGTGTACCGGCTAGTATCGTCTCGGATAGAGATCCAAGGTTTACCTCGTACTTTTGGAAGGCTTTCCAAAAGGCCTTGGGGACAAGAGTAAACATGAGTACAGCCTATCATCCCCAGACGGATGGACAGTCAGAAAGGACGATCCAGACGTTGGAAGACATGTTAAGGGCGTGTGTACTTGACTGGGGTAGTACTTGGGAGAGACATTTGCCATTGGTAGAGTTCGCCTACAACAACAGCTTCCATACGAGCATAGGGATGTCACCGTATGAAGCATTGTATGGACGGCCTTGCAGGACACCACTATGCTGGACCCAAGTGGGGGAGCGCAGTATGTTGGGTCCTGAGATCGTGGAGGAGACCACAGAAAAGATCAAGCTGGTTCGAGAGAAGATGAAGGAGGCTCAAGACCGACAAAAGAGTTATGCGGACCGGAGACGGAAACATATTGAGTTTGAGGTGGGCGACATGGTTTATCTCAAGATGATAACGTTCAAGGGAAGGACTAGGGTTTCTGGGCGAAGGAAACTAGATCCTAGGTACTTGGGTCCATTCAGAATCATTGAGAGGGTTGGAGCAGTGGCGTACAAGTTGGACTTGCCATCCGAGATGGACGCGTTCCACAACGTATTCCATGTGTCTCAACTCCGGAAATGTTTGGGCAATCAGGATGTGGTGTTGCCAGAGATCCCTGCTGATCTTGGTAAGAACCTAACCTTGGAGACAAGGCCGGTTCGAATCATAGATCGAACAGAGAAGGCAACTCGGAGGAAGACTGTTCCTATGATCAAGGTCGTGTGGGACAGCAATGGCAAGGATGTCATCACTTGGGAAACTGAAGAACGAATGAAGGCTGAGTACCCGGAGTGGTATGGTCAGTTTGGTTCAGCAGAAAACATGCAAATAGGATTCGAGGACGAATCCATTTCAAGTGGGGGAGACTTGTCATGTCCCCGATCCTAGTTTGGGTCGCCGGGATGGACCATGGTGCCAAGGATCGAACCAACAGGTCGTATGACCTCATTTGGATAGGTGGCATGGTCCAGAATAAGGGTTAAGAGCTCAGGGAAGCTGGGACTTAACCAAAACAAGAAGGAAACAAGCATTGGGGAGTTGGACAAGTGTTATGGTAGCTGGACGAG